GGAAAAAAAAAAAAAAACCCTCAAAAAAAAAAAAAAAAAAAAAAAAAGAACCTTACCAACTACAAAGACTCAAATTCTATCCCACATGTCAAAGGGAAAAAGAAGAAAGTGGAACTTAAAACCAACCAACCACTTTACCTAAAGTGACTTTACTTCCAGCACCCATAAGAGGACAGGAGAATTTGGGAAGTAGAATAATGCAGACGAGAAGTTTTTTTTTTTTTACTTCAAAGCCCAGGTTTCAGATTGTGCTCATCTCAGGGAGGGAGAGCGTGCCTTGTACATATTCTCATTCAGTTTTTTCGATGCAAAACCTCTGGGCCAGCTTTGCAGTTCTAGGTTTCAAACAACCTGTGCAGCATGGTCACTTACCTTCTAAATATTCTCTGGTTTCCTAACTGTAGGGAAGGGAAGGCCTGCTTTCATGGCAGTAGCCAGGGGGGGGGGGGGAAATCACAAAACCTGCCCAGGTGAAGTCACTCTGGGACAATGCGGAAAGGAATGCTGGTATGCCCATGAAGTGTTTTCAGAGCGGAGGGCAAGAACTGGCCGAGAACGCTTTTTTTGCTCAAGTTATGTTTAAAACACAAAAACAGGGAGAGGACCTTGTGTTCTGATAAGAGAATTCTGGCCAAGGAAGATCCAGAATGCCTGTCTAGACTACAAGAATGGAGAATGCTAGCAAACAGCCTGCAGGAGCCACATGATGTCCCCCTCCTCCTGCAAGGACTGGCCAATGTGGATTCCTCCTCAGAGTAGGAAAAAACCACAACACATCACGGACAGTATTCAAAATGATAACGGGCCAGAAACAAATGCATAAATGCTGAATGCCAGTAACTTCAAGATGAGGTGGCAGGCCAGCAGGTGGCGTGGTGGCTGAGGTGCTGGACTCCCACATGGCTGACCATGGCTCAAGTCCCAGACCTGGTGGCTTGCTCTCTCACTTTTCCTCTCTCTCTCTGATGAGCACACATGCCCTGTTGCAAATTTTAAAATACTAATATTGATAAATAATTCTTTAAAAAGAAAAAAATGAGGTGGCATAAAATGAGCCTCAGAGAAGAAATACATTCATTCTTATGTAACAGATATAAGAATGTAAAGTTTTCCACTGAAAATGATGTATATGGTAATGTCTTTGATTTGACTGTCATGCACTGCATGCATACTTTGAAAAACCATATTATGTGCTGTAGAGATTTATAATGATTAAATATGAGAAAGAAAGCAAAATTAAAAAGAGCCTTTGCACAAGTCCAAGCAGTAGAAATACTGGGCAGAGGGCCGTTTTACGATTCGCATACGGTAGAGAAGCCTACGCTCCTGCCAGTGACTCTCCTAGAGAGAGTCACGTGTGTGTACACGTGTGTACATGTGTGTACGTGTGTCTTAAATACACTTAGCAGAGTCGCAGTCCCAACTCATTTAGTCCACTTCCAGGAACCCAACTCTCGTCCCACCAATGCAACATAACAGACCTAAAGCCAAGTGATGGGACGAAGGGTTAAGGAAATGACAGCTCTGCCTGCCACCCCCTGGAAAACAACCCCACGACCTGCTTGCATGTGCATCATGTTCGGGAATCCCTGTTCCTTCTCTTCACCTATAAAAAAACTAGTCATGGCCAGCAAGTGGCATGGAGGCTAAGGTAGTTGGATCCCACATGGCCGACTATGTGGTTTGAGTTCCAGACCGAATGACTTGAAAAATCACACCGGGTATGTGTAGGTACTTGCCCAAAATCCTGAGAGGAAAACGGAAAAGGGGATTGTGGTATGGCCATTTCCCGGGGTTGGGAGGGCAGGGAGACTTCTCACTTTCCTTCTCTCTCTGGCAAGTGCATATACCCTACAACAAAAATCTAAAAAAAAATCAGTCATATCTCACCTTCTCCAGGAAGCCTTCCCTGACTCCCCGTTGAACATTCCACATCTCTGTGCATTCTGCCATCATCATTCACATCAATCTACATCATTAAAAATGAACTTGGGGCCAGCAGGTGGCATGGTGGTTAAGGGGCTGGATTCCCACATGGCCAACTACGGTTTGAGTCCCAGACCTGGAGGTTCGTTTTCTCACTTTCCCTTGGTCTTTCTCTGTCTCTCTCTGGTGAATTTTAAAAATAATAACAATAATAAATAAAATTAAATAATTCTTTTTTTTAAAAAAATAAATAACTACCTTATCTACCTAGGAGCAAGGAGTACATTTTCCTCCCGCTGTTTTCCCTAACACAGTGTCTGACCTACAGTAAGTGCTCAGTGTTCTGGATAAACTGGAAAAGTACAGTAAAAGAAGGGGACATAGGGGGACCAGCAAAGTTAGTGTAATGGCTATGTCACTGGACTCCCACGTAGTCGACCGCGGTTTGAGTCCCGGAACCAGTGGCTTAAACTCACGCCGGGCTGTGTGTGCGTGCGTGCCCAAGATCCCGAGAGGAGAAATGGAGGAGAAGGGATTGTGGCATGGCCATCCCCCCTGGGGGGTGATTTCTTGCTTTTTGTCTCTCTCTGTCTTTCTGGCAAGCGCACGTGCCCTATAGCAAAAACCTCTCAAAAAACAAAACAAAACGAAACAAATACAAAGAAGGGGACATAAACTGGCACTTAACACGCGCTTGCTGGGGCTCCTAATGAATGTCACGCACATGCCTGTACCTTTCACCTATATCTCATTTAATTCTACCAGAAACTACATTCAGCTCACAATAATGTAAAGAATCTAATAATGAATCTAAGAAAAGTCCATTAACCCACCAGTAAAGTCGTATTGCTTAGATCAAAATTCAAGCTTGCCTGATTCCGCATTGCCTTCACACAGGAATGAAACACTCATTGAGTCTGCCCTCTCCCTTATCCCTCATCTTTGAGTACAAGACAGAGGCCAGACCGGAAATACTCTCCCACTGTCCATCCTCAGGCTCTTCGTGGGTGAAGTCACTGCTACCTCGTCAACACCACAGCAAATCCCCTCTCCCTTGTGGTCGTGGGCACCCGCCCTGCGGTACTGGGGGCTGGGTGAAGGGAACCCTTCCTTTCTGCATGCTGGTTGATGCTTGTCTCTCTACAACCCATCAGGGAGGTCCTCCGTGCCAGGAACACCGAACTCACGTGGCCAGGCACTCAGCTTGCTTGGCAGACTTATTATTTTTTTTAAATGACAGAGAGCACATATGTGGGCACACAAGACAGACAGACAGAGGAAGCACTCTCGAAAGGGGCTCATCACATGGTGATTTCCTTTTCCTAGACCCCCAGCTCCTCAGGTTCCTGGGCAGCAACATGCATATCTGGCATGTCTTCCAACCAGCCTAGGGACCCAAACCCACAGTCAGCATGTGGCTTCCAGTGATGCAGCCCAGGACACTGGAAACTGCAGCACTGAGGCTGGACTATGGCTTGACTAAGGGAAGACAAGGGAGGCTAAGGACATGCCCACTCCTGCCATCCTCAGAAGCTGCGGGGGCCTGCTCCCCGTCAGCGTGTAAAGCAGGGCAGTCGGACAAGTGCCCGAGTAAGTGGCTTCTCCTCTCTCTACTCACAGGATCCGGATCTCACACATCTCTGTGACGGTCATTTCCTACTTGGTTTCCTGTCATAGTCCCCAGGATGCAAAGGAGGGCAACCTAGAGAAGGGCCTCCCGCCTTCCTAAAAAAAAAAAATATGCCTGGATGCAAGGGTCAGGGAAATAAGATGATGTTTCTGTAACTCTCTAGGAAATAGCTAGCAAGGAAGATCCAGGGTTGGCTAAGATGACTGATGCAACCATTACGCCACCTGCTGCTCCTGCCACTGGTCAATTTTAAAAGAGCTTTAGAAGGTTCAAAATCTGAGAAGTAAGGGAAGGGAGAAAAATATTAGGTTGTCTGAAAAGACATGACACATTTTTGCATAGAAAATCATTATGGGGACCAGCAGTTGGCATAATGGCTATGTCGCTGGACTCCCATGTAGTTGACCACGGTTTGAGTCCCAGATCTGGTGACTTAAACTCATGCTGGGCGCGTGTGCGTGCGTGCCCAAGATCCCGAGAGGAGAATGGAGGAGAAGGGATTGCAGTGTGGCCATCCCCCCTGGGGGGGTGATTTCTCGCTTTCTGCCTGTCTGCCTCTTTCTGGCGAGCGCATGCACTCTATAGCAAAAACCTCTCCAAAAAAAGAAAAACATTATGACTTTCCCAGCATCCTAGAAGTTTCAAAAGCAAACACACTGAGAATAGTGCGTTCTGTCATAAAGTCAAAGCCCAGGTAGACAGATAATGCCTGGCACCCAAACTCCTGAGAGCACACACTCAGAAGGCAGTTTGGGGTAAGGTCATCAAATCTGTCCCCTGCGATATACCCTGGGCTCCGGAGACATCTGGGAGACCTTTCTCCCAGCTTCCCAATTTCTAAGTGCACTGTGATGATACACATTGTGTGTGTGTGTGTGTGTGTGTGTGTGTGTGTGTGTGTGTGTGTTTAGGATCCAAGAGACAGATCGCCTGTCTCCCAGACAGTATTTTAGGTTGAGACATCAGAGGAAAGAGAACAGGAAGAAAAGGTATTTAATTTATATATTTAGAAGGTCATGCACGGTGGCCTGTGGACATCTTGTTTCAAAAACACCCACCTTAAACAAATCTAAGCTCGTAAGAATAACTGATGATTACATAACTCACAGAAGACACCACAAGTTCCCTTTTCATTCGGTTTGCATACATTTTTAACCACAGATAAACACTACTGAAAGATAGGCAAAAACATTCACACTTACTCTCTTTGACGGAGTCCAGAGGATCCACCATCAGTTGAGCCTCCAAATCAGCAACTTGCAAGGAACTTACTATAGGAGCCAATAGACGGACCTCACCTGGAAGACAAAATGTTGAAAACTCTAAAATGCCACAGAGCAGATGATCTATATCATGTTATCTGTTCCTACAGGTGGATCCCGAAAGCAGGAGGGCTTAAGGGGAAAACGGGGTACAAACACTAAGCTATTGGCTGCAGAGAGCAAGTTTAGAAGCAAGCAAGCCTGTTTTTCTTGCTGAATTCCTCAATTTGGGTCCAGACAGGAAAATGCTCAGCTGAAAAGAAAGTAAAGGTTAACTGGGAGCAGAGGAGTGGAGGAGAGTGTTCTTGAGAAGCCAGTCCCACTGGCTCGCTCTCAGGACAATTTGGACTGTTAACAGTAGTGATCTTGGGGAGAGGGATGGGGTGAAGGGTTAAGCGTGCAGGGGGTGGGGGCGCATTTTCCTGTATACTTGAAGGCATCTGTATTGTTTGATTCTTTTTTTTCCCCTTTTCTTTTTTATTTTGGAGAGGTTTTTGCTATAGGGCGAATGCGCTCGCCAGAAACACAGAGAGAGAAAGCGAGAAATCACCCCCTCCCCCCCAGTGGGATGGACATGCCGCAGTCCCTTCTCCATTCTCCTCTTGGGATCTTGGTCACGCATGCACATGCGCCCGGCATGACTTTAAGCCTCTGGGTCTGGGACTCAAACTGCAGTCGACTACATGGGAGTCCAGTGACATAGCCATTACACTGACTGCTGGTCCCTGTATTGTTTGATTTTTAAAACAAAAACACGTATTACTTGGATGACGTTTCCCAGTCTCAGGCCACTACTACTCTTCATGGCCACACCGAATCGGCATCCACCACCTCCTGGGTGACCCATGGCAACCAGAGCGCTGACCAGCAATAATCACAGTCCATGCTGACACCACGCGGCTGGAACGTTCGGGAAAAGAGAGGAGAGAGGAAGTCCCGTGACCCCCATCGAGTAGTCAGGAGCGATCAGTGTCCGCCTACAGTAACCACTCACAGCATGGCGGCTGCCCCTCACACTGCCACCAAATGATCTGATCTTGTCCCCTCAGCCCTTTCATAAACTGTGACCAGGGGGAAAAAATGCAAGAACCGGGCAACCATTCCATTACAAAATTTCAGCTAGGACAAGCAGTAACTTTTCACAAAGGAAATAACTTGTCTTTTCACTTGGGAGCTTTTGTGAAACTTGTATCACCAATAATGAGATTTTTTTTTAGTCACAGAGAGATCTGGCTGAAAAGAGCAACTGAAAAGCGATTGAGACATACCAGAAGACTCCCTGCTATTTTCTTGTTTCTGGATCTTCCTATGGTTTGTATAACCAGATGGTTGGGATATCTGCAAACACTGGATGGAGAGAGTTAAAAAGTAACTATTGGGACCAGCAGATAGCCTAGCGGTTACGTCTCTGGACTCCCACATGACCAACCACAGTTTGAGTCCCCGACCCGGTGGATTCAATCTCACACTAGGCACGTGTGTGCATGCCCAAAATCCCAGGAGAAAAAGGGATTGCAGCATGGCCATCCTGCCTGGGGGGTGATTTCTTGCTTTCTGTCTGTCTCTCTCTGTCTCTCCAGCAAGCACTCGTGCCTTATAGCAAAAACAATTCTTTAGGAAAAAAAAAAAAAGCAACTGTTATCCATTTAGTATCTAGACTCTGGTTTCTAAATACTGTGGTATTAAGAAGAGTCAGAGCTTCCTGAATGGCCAATTCAGGGCCAGCATGGTAGTTAAGATGGCTGGATACCCACATGGCCGACCACGGTTCGAGTACTAGACCTGATGACTTGCTTTTCCACTTGCCCTCTCTCTGTCTCTCTCTGGTCAAATTAAAAAATAAAAAACAGGGGCTGGCCGGTGGCATGGTGATTAAGTGTGCCAGGCTCCCACATGGCTGATGGTGGTTCGAGTCCTGAACCTGGTGGCTTGCTTTCTCACTTTTTCTCTCAATCTGTCCTTCTCTGGTCAAATTAAAATAAACAAATACATAAATAAAGTTTTAAAAAAATTAAAAAAAAAAAACAATAAATAAAGCTAAATAAAATAATCATTTTTTAAAAAGAGGAAGAAGAAGAAACAGCAGCGGGGAGCCAGATGCTGCTGTCCGGCAGGCTGAGGCCACGTGGGAGACACAGGCACAGTGCAGGTCCACCCTAAAAAGCCAGCAGGGTGGTGCCGTCCAAGCTGCTGGGGCAACTGAGGCGCGAGGACCACGCGCTTATGACCAGTGTGGACAGCCCAGCACGACCTCGTCTAAAATGCCGCTCCACACACACACCCACACGTACGCGCACACTCCCTAGCAGGCTTTTCTGAAGAAACTGACAAGCGTATCAATGTGCATGAAGACGGAAAAGACCAGAAGGGCAAAAATGATTTGGGGGAAGAAATAAAAGAGGGTTTACACTGCGTGATTTCACAACTTAGTATAAAGCTGTACTATGGCACTGGCGCAGGGACAGTCCGCCACCTAAGTAGGACTGTTACCTAGTGCTATTTCCTTATTCTCGCCTAAAGAAACGGCGGAGGGAGAGACACAGAACTGATTTTCTTTTTCATTACTAGTGCGGTTAGAAACAGGCACAGACAAGAAACTTCTCTGTGGGGAACCAGCAGTTAGCGTAATGGCTATGTCCCTGGACTCCCCCGTAGTCGACCGCGGTTCGCGTCCCGGACCTGGTGGTTTAAAACTCACGCCGGGCGCGTGTGCGTGTGTGCGTGTGTGCCCCAGATCCCAAGAGGAGAATGGAGGAGAAGGGATTGCGGCGTGACCATCCCCCCTGGGGAGTGATTTCTCGCTTTCTGTCTCTATGTCTCTCTCTGTCTGTCTGGTGAGTGCACATGCCCTATAGTGAAAACCTCTCCAAAAAAAATAAATAAATAAAATTTTTTTTTTAATTAAAAAAAAGAAACTTCTCTGTGTACACATTTTTCTAGAGTTTGAATTTCTGAGTTATACAGATGATTTGGCACAAAACAAACTTACTCCTTCCTCCATTACCTGAAGAAGGCTTGACTGGGGAGGACCCATCTCTAGCCTAAGATGCAAAAATGGAAGTCACATGCCTTATGAAGGACCTCATAACTGCATACGTCTTTTAAATCTATTGCCACCTTAACGTGAACATCCAGAACACAGCACTGTAACCGGCCAGGGAGCCTGCAAACTGGCTCGATGGGAGTTCAAAGAAGACAAACTCGAGAGCCTGGCAGATGACATTTAATAGAATCACTCCCCGGGGCCCACCAGAATCAAGGAGTACAGACTGCTGCGTGGCCCTGCCCCTGGTGGATGATTTCTCACTTTCCCTCTTGCTCTTTCTCGCTGTCTGTCTGGCTAGAGCACCACCCCCTACAGCAAAAACTGGAAAAAAATTTTTTAAATAAAATAGTAAAGTGGGGGGCGCTGGTGGGCAGAGGTCCAGGTCTTAGAGGAGAAATGCTATTTTAACCTGATTCTACATGCAAACCTCACTGTCCAACAAAACACGAATCCTTCTCTTGCCCTCGCTGAGAAGCCTTGCTGTCAGCACGGAGCTGAGAAACAGGAACCTCGAGGCTGAGATAAGAACGGGGCCAGAATCAAGGACACAAGGGAGTACTGTGGGAAGCCTGAGGGTTTCTGTAACTACTATTGTTCGTGGAGGGCACACGGTCTCCTTTAATCTCCTTGAAATTAGATGGAATGTCAGATTTGGGTAAAGTTATGTAAGGGGAAGTGGGAGGAGGGACTAGAGAGCCAAGAATGATCAATCACATTCCTCCCTTGCCAGTTCATCTTTTAGCCAGGGGCAGGAAGTAAGCCACAATGACACAAAGACTTCACTGCAAACTGTCCAGGTGGAAGGGACAGGAGTCCATGCGACACAGAAGCTCTTAATGTGCCTGTGGTCATTATGACTCCACCCTGACCTCGGCACTCTCCACTTAGCTCAATCCATCAACAAGTCTTTCCAGCTTTGATCGGCCCTAAATCCGCCTATTCGCCCCCATTTCTGCAGGCATGACCTTAGTCAAGCCACCACATCGTCTTTCTGACCAGCTCATTTCCCTGTTTCTATTCTTACTCCTTCTATTTGCCTGACAGCGGCCACCATGTTCTTTTTAAAATGTAGCTTAGGGGCAAGCAGGCTGCGACGTGGTTAAGGAGCTAAACTCCCACATGGTCAACTGCGGTTTGAGGGTTTGAGTCTCGGAGGCTTGAGACTCACCCTGAGTGAGTTTGCAGCATGCTCACCCCCCTGGGTAGGTGATGTCTTGCTTTTTTCTCTCTAGGGAGTGCTGCACTGGCCTTAGAGCAAAAATCTCTCTTGGGGAAAAGAAAAAAATTTAAAGTCGTGTGATGGTTCCAAAGTCAGTGTGCTCTGACTCCTGACCTCCCCTCTGACCTTGTCCAGGGCAACTTCCCCCCTTATCCATATTCCTATTTTTGGGTCTTTGTTGTTCCCTCAAAACACCCAAAGCTCAGTTCCCTCCCTCTGAACTCGGCTAAAAGGTCCTTCCCTGTCAACAATATCTAATAGTGTCTCCCCCTTAATTATTCCCTATTACATTATCTTGGGCCATTTCCTCAGTTTCATTTTTCCACTATCTAAAATTATTACATTGATATATTAATATTTCCTTCTACTTGTCTAAAGAAACAATAGGATAAACAAAGAACTGATTGTCAGGGACAGCTGCTTTGGCATGGGATCTAGGTAGCATACTGTCTTGCAGGGCATGGAAACCACACGGCCAACCATGGGTTGGGATCCCAAGTCAACCTGAAACATGTCAGGCGCCAGCACCCAAGATCCTCACGAACTGGAGGCTGGGGGAAGGGGGTCACAGGTGACAAGGCTGCTGAGGGAGCCTCTTGCTCTCTCTCATGAACGAAAATAAATGTTTTTTTAAGAATCAGATTTTTAGGGACCAGCAGTTAGCATAATGGCTATGTCGCTGGACTTCCACATAGTCAACCGCGGTTCGCATCCTGGACCCCGTGGCTTAAAACTCATGCCGGGCACGTGTGCATGCGTGCCCAAGATCCC